GGGTTCACCACATCGGGCCCTGCATTTTGAGGACCAATTGGTTCGGGACATTTTCGTTTATCATGACCGGGTACTTTGCATATGGAACACCTCCTTGGCCCCCGCGGTGGTCTTCCACTTTGATCCATTTCATTTGGAATCCTTTTTACCCGTGGGAGCCCTGTTACCCGCCTAAGACCGATTGGTGGAATGATGACCATACCCTCATAAACTGGCCAGTAAGCTTGATCCGGCAATGCACGGAAACTAGTACGATAACTGCTCTTTTGTGAGTCAATGTTGAAGAACGGACTGACGAAATGACGAGGGTCTTTGCTCCTGTGCTTTATTGCAGCCATTGCATGGGAACATGGTATCCCTCTACCCTGATACTTCTGACAAGAGCACTCCCCCATTTTAGTCCTAAAGTTGACGGTGACTTCATGGCGATGACCCCCACGTCTCCCATCCTCCCAGTGCCTAGTCTCGACCGAAAACTCGCCAGCATGTCGGTTCATCACAGTGACTGTGTGACGAGAGCTCTTCCAATTATCTTTTTCCATTATTTTCATGACATAATCGGAGTGTACCTTACCCTGTGTCTCCCTATTCTCAGACCAGTGGAGACGGTTGACGAACCATCTGTTTGTTTTCCAGAATGTCATTTCAACAATTGCAGAGATGGGGAGTGCACGACATTCCCTGTAGACGTTGTTGATACTCTCGCTTGAGTTTGTTGTGGCAATACCCCATCTGTGACCTCCGTCCTTATGAAAAGTCCACATTTCAAGGTCATGTTGATCAAGCCACTGCGCACCTTCAGGGCATATTTGACGGATATTCTGCATCTTCTCTTTAAATTTCTTCTCTTGGTACGCGACAGACAGCTGTTGAATATAAAAAAAAGTCAGATAAGCAAGATCGACCTTATTGCCAATACAAGTACACTCGTAAGACTCTTAGGAGAGGTATACATCTCCTTAGAAACACAGTCTTTTTGACAGAAAAAGGGGGGATCCGAGGACCGCTTAGAACCCGATTTTCCTAGGTCATGGGGGGATCATGATGATCGCTTAAGTCCCCATTTCCTTATACATGCATTTCTTTATAAAGAGTCTATATAAGTGTTGTATTGTATTGAAACATTCCATACTTTTATACAGTTGAAAAAAATGTACAGAGACACAATTAATTAGAACGCTTACCGATCCACCATATACTGTCAGCAAGCTTCTTTCGCTTGAAATGATGGTTCCAGTTGCTCTTGAAATGCCGTATGCACCATCTCTGTGACCAGTTCCAGGCTGGATCCAAGCCTAAGATAGCAGCCTGTATTCCGGCGTGGCGATCTGAGATGATAGTCAGGTTCGTCCGCCTGGTGACATGGAGCTGAATTTGTCTGAAGAACCAGCCATAGCTATCGGTATTCTCTCCCTCCACAATGGCAAAGGCTAATGGATATACTAATCTATTTGCATCTGCTCCGCTGGCAATCAGTAGAGTACCCTTGTACTTGCCGGTAAGGAATGTTCCATCAACTTGAATCACAGGAACACATTTTTTGAAAACCATCAATACATGGCTTGAAGGCCCAGAAAAGACGCTTGAATTGGCGATTGTTACCAGGAGCCGGCGATTGAATTTCTTCATCTTGGTAGCGAGGCGAGAAAATGGTGCCAGGGTTAGACACCTCCAACGCCAAAATCAATTTGGGAAGGAATGCATATGATTCTTCCCAGTCACCAAACACGGCAGCCATTGCTTTCTGTTTCCCATGCCATGCTTTCTTGTAGTTAATGATATAACCATAACGACTAGAAATGTGGGCGATGATGGTTTTGACCTTCAGGTCGGGCTGCTCCTCAATTAGATGTTTGATAGCCGCGGCAACCACCCTTGATTTCAACTGTCGATGGCCTTGGGATGTTATTGATGAGACACATGTGTGTGTGTTCACCGCACGGGATATGACCCAATGGCCGACTCTCTTGCTCTTGATAGCCCGAACCCTAGCTTTGCATCCCTCATTTTCATTTCTGCATCGAACCAGCAGCCTCTTTGTGTCGGAATGGGTGTTTGCCATTCAAAACTCTAAGTCATTGCTTCAGTGGAAATAGCGTGTCGGACCTCATTCTTCGTTGCAAATTGTTGGCCCTTCGTAAAGCCAGTTAGTGGACCCCATACTGGCACATCTGGCGGGTCCATGTCGGCATCAACATACCAATCTTCACTTTGAATGTGATTGTAGTATGGAATAGGTACACGGTCGTGAGCTACCTCATCACCATCTGTGTCTGAATCTAGACCGGAATCATCAGCACCTTCCAACGGATCGTCGCTGTCTGCACTAACTTCGCCTTCCTCTTCTTCAACCTCAGGGTCACTAACTGGACTTGGATTGACCTCTTCTTCCATCTGACTACCAGCATGAAAGGCACCTTCGCCTTCACTAGCTCCGTAATGGTAGTTGTGGTAACTAACACCGCTTTGATAGAAGTTGTACTCGGGTGGGTACTGGTAGCCTGCTTGTTGGTTGTAATCCGCCTGTTGAGCTTCTTCTTCATATGAAGGGAAGGATTGATGACTTCCTCCAGTACCATGATGATACTCCTGCCTCCAGCTCGACTCTTGGAAATCCTGGTGGGGATTATCTTCGTATAATACACTCCCACCGTGGATACCAGATGTTTGGCCATCTCCAGAATGACCTACACTGCCTTCGACGACCTCGGTGTAAACGAACATCTCAGCTTGCTTAATTTTATTGGTGGTCAAAAATTGGACCATGACATCAACGTCCTCCTGAGTGGTAAGGAGGAATTCCTCATTCCACAGCGACCCGTCATGTCTATTTGGATATCGATACACCATTCGATCAACTCTTCTAGTGCCATCCATGCAGGTAATCTGAGTGCACATTTGATGGAGCTCCTCAAGCATCGGTCTCGTACGGACCTTCATTTTATAAAAATTGCCAGCGACGTAACTTAAACTCTTTTCGGTCTCTTCCGTGTAACCATTCCACCGCAACCCAAGCGTGAACCTTTGGAATGCCATCTGCAATGAAAAGTAATTAAGTTACTAACATAAAATCACAAATGACAATGAAAAGTAATTAAGTTACTAACATAAAATCACAAATGACAATGGAAAGTAATTAAGTTACTAACATAAAATCACAAAGGACAATGAAAAGTAATTACGAAACAAACTTACGAATTAACGTTAATCGCAAAAACTAAATAATTTAAAGCTGAAATTTTAAGAAGAGGAGGAGGTGTGAAGAATTGAGTTCTCTGGAACCGCCTTTTATAGGCAAATTTTGCATCAAAACCGCTGGGGGGGGGGGGGGGGGGGGGGGGGGGGAGCGGTTTTAGGTCTGGCATGCAGCCCTACCCCCTGCATGCCGACATGTCCGACATGTTGGCTGTCGAGTGACCAGGCACAAACCGCGTCTTGAGGCAGCGGTTTATGTCCTGAGACTGTAAACCGCCGCTTGGGGAGGCGGTTTATTTCCTGACATTGTAAACCGCCGCTTGGGGAGGCGGTTTGTAATGCCGACAGTTAAACGCTCTTATATTAAGCGTTTTGTGGTAGGGTTAGCCTATAACCGCGCCGTCCAGAAGCGTTTTGTTCTGGAAATTAAAAACGCTACCTAGAGAAGCGGTTATAATGTAAAACGCTTCCTAGAGGCGCGGTTTTATTAAAAACCGTTTTTAGAGGCATGGTTTTATAGAAACGATGGTATTTTTGAAAATTATTTGGAGTGGGTGGTATTTTTGTAATTTTTTTTAAACAGTGGTAGTTTTGGATTTTTTCCCACCTTCTGCAACTTCCAATCACTTCCAACAAAGTGAGCAGTAACACACATGAAATCCTTGTTGTTATCAGAAGTCCATGTATCCGTAGTGATTGAAACTCTTCCTTGACTCCTTGATTCAAAAAAATCAATTAAATCCATCTTTTTATCCATAAAGATATGAAAGCAGTCATATCTTATAGCTTTCCTCCCAGTTATCCTAAACAGTGGCTGAACTTGGGACATGAATTGCTTAAACCCTTCACTCTCCACAAAGCAAAATGACAATTGATCCATAATGATCATACTGGCTAATGCATATCTAGCTTTTCCCTGATCAAACTTCCATAAACCACTTACTTGACCACCTTCTGATGTCTGCAATACTGTCTGATTTTTATTTGCTTCCAACTTAGCCAAACAGGAGTGCATGTGGTTATTTATTGCATTTGTCCCATTTTTGTGAGGATGAGCTTTGATTAGAGTATGACAGTGTATGCACTCTCCCATCGGGTAGCTGTTAACTATCAACTTCTTAAACACCTTCCAACAAGAAGCTTTACCCACCGTCTTCAACCATTTCTCGCAGTAAAAAATGTCTCCTGTAGCTGTCTCTGAATCAGAAGCGCTCGTGTCAACAGAAGGAGTCTCGGCATGTGTACCGGCAGGTGTACTTCCACTATCGAAAGGGGCGACAATCGATGGAGTTGATGAAGACGGTTCAGCTTCAGGTGGATGAACAAGTCGACTTCCTGTACGCCCACCACGACCTCGGGTCTGAACAGGAGCACTCGCACCACCACGACCTCGAATCGCCGGAGGTATCCCACCATGAGGAGCAGTAGCAGCAGTAGGGACACCTCGTCCGCCACGTCCACCACGAGGAGCCGGAGGTCTAACCCTACAAAAACAATTACACAAAGTCACAAAATTAGTAAGCTGACCTCACTAATTCCAAACCCTCTTAGATGCCCAAAGCTATGATCTATATAATGAGTAGTGGCCATTTTGGAGTATTTGTGATGGAACTACAACTGGCTTTTGGACTCACCCCTGGATCAACCACGAAACCATCCTCGAGGACTTTCTTCAGGAAGACCTTAGTGAGGAGGACCTGAACTCATCTGTTGCGGAGTGGACCACAGAGGAAGGAACCTGGGACTGGAGAAGGCTCAACAGTCTCCTACCTGATGAGATCCTGGCCTTAATTGCAGGCACTGATGTCCCTCTACCAGGCTCGGGAGAAGACAAGCATAAATGGGGCATAGAACAAGACGGCAATTTCAGCCTCAAGTCTGCTTACTGCCTTGCATCAGACGCTCTTGGGATCTGGAAGGGGATATGGAAGTGGAAGGGACCGAACAAGATTAAGCACTTCATGTGGTTGGTGACCCATAACAGGTTGATGACAAACAAAGAAAGAGCAAAGCGTGGACTGACTACCAACAGCAACTGCCCTCACTGCAACAACACGGAAGAAACGGTGGAGCACATCCTCCGTAGATGCAAAAAGACCGAGGGTGTTTGGAATCACTTCAATTTTTTCATCACTGCTCAGGACCCCAGCCAGGACTTCAAAACATGGCTACTCAACAACATGAAAGATCAGAACAAAGGGACGGAATTTGGGATCATCTGTTGGTGTTTATGGAAACAGAGGAATGAGGAAGCTATGGAGGGGAAATCCTTCTCTGAAATAGGCCTCATTAAAAGAATTTCCGCCTGCTTTACTATCAACACCTATGCTGTGACTAACTCGGCTTGTATTGGCCTGGTCAAAACCTCCAACAGAGAAAGGAGGTTCATATCATGGAAACCACCCAAGGAAGGATGGATCCAACAGCAAAGCGATGGAAGTTACAAGAGCTCCAACCGAAGTGCTGCTGCTGGAGGATTGCTGAGAGATCATCTTGGAAAGTGCACTGCAGCCTATGCTTGTAACCTGGGGTCCTGCACCATCACTAGGGCCGAGCTCAAAGGGGCTGTTGAAGGATTAAAGATTGCCTGGGAAAAGGGATACAGGAAAGTGGAAGTCAATCTGGACTCGAATACAGCTGTGAGTATTTTGAAAGAAAAGGGAGACACCAGCAGCAACCATGGACTTCTTGCGCTTCAAGCTAAAGAACTCCTTAGTCGTAGCTGGACTGTTAATATTAATCATGTTTATAGGGAGTGTAACTCTGCTGCTGATTTCTTAGCTAGCATGGGGCATGATCTCCATTTTGGCACGCATCACCTTGATACGTGTGACCCCAAACTCCTGTATTGGCTGAACTATGACGCTAGGGAAACTTCCCAAGAGCGCGATATTTTAATCTGATTCTGGATGCTCTGCATCCATCTTCTTACCAAAAAAAAGTAGTGGCCATTTTGGGAAGTCATTCCCTTCCATAGAGTTTCCACCTTCCAGCCATACATCTATCATTATCTAGTCCATTCCAGAAACAAGCACTAGAAGATAGTTAACCTATTGACAAAACTCAAAATTTCCCCACCTTTTCGATTATATTATTATAAGAGAAAGGAGAAAAGAAATAAAGATCTTGTTGTGTTGCTACTCCAAAGACAAACTCATACAAACCAAACCCTCAAACAAAAAGAGGAGGAAGGAAAATGGTCATTTTCCAAGTTCTAGGCCAACCGAACCCTCAAACAACTTCCCTCCCCCACCTTCAGTCCTAGGCCAACCGATTCCAAGTTCTAAGAAAAACAACACAGCAAATTCACCCCCTTCCTCCCATTCTTCTCCTGCAAATTCACGGTGAAGCCATTTCCCATTTCCCTAAATTGTGAATTATTCACCCCGTTCCTCTCATTCCTCTCCTGCAAATTCTTATATGCACATTATAAGAAAAAAAACACAACACCACCAGTCCACCACCACCCCTTCATGATCATTATCATTAGAACAATCAACATAGAAAAATTAGCAGAAGTTTAGGGAAATGGGAAACTAATTGATGAATCCTCCAAAATCAAAACCAAAAAAAAAAAATGAAAGAACAACGATTAATTGGAGACTTGGAGTGGGAGGTCTCACATCAGCTTGTCGTCGGGATGGCGGCAACTGGCTTCGAGGAGGCAGGACGGAGATGGTGGCGTCGGCGGCAGGGAGAGAGTGAGGGAGAGGGTCGACGACGGCAGGGGCAGCCGCGTGGCAGGGAGAGAGTAAGGGAGAGGCACGGCTGCGGGGAGAGTGAGGGTGGCAGCAGGCAGGGAGATTGAGCGACTGAGTGAGGGAGAGGGAGACTGGAAATCTCGATGGTGGACTGAAAATCTGGAATCGGCAAATCGCGATGGTGAGGACGTGAGGTAGGGCAGGGTTCGTCGGTTTAGGGATTTAGCCTTTAGTCGGTTTGTCGGTTTTAGGAGGTGAGGGAGAGCGCCGGTTAGTCGGTTTAACCGACGGTTATTTACCTCGGTTAGCCGGCCTCCTCAACCCTTCTACCGCCAACCGCCCGAGCTATTATTTTTTCGGTTATTGGTTAACCCGTAACCGCCGGTTATCGGCAATAAATAACCGAATGACCAGCCCTAATTTAAACCCTTAATCATTAATTAAAATAAAATAAAAAAGTTATGTCTGGGAGAACCGCCAGCCCCGGGCTGTGCGCCGCACGCGCGAGGAAGAGTTGCTCGAATTGTCTCGATAAGTTCATGGGTGATACCCAGGATCGGGAGAATTGACCGGAGCATTGTTTACTCCTCAGGTCATGGCCAGAAATCTAGAAGGTGGGCGTTCCAATGTGGCTGGAGGAGGAGACCGTTCATCATTTACATTCTATGTGTTTGTAGTTATCCTCGACCTTATGATAATCGCCGCAAGCTTTGGAAATAGGCAGTCCGCCTCGAGTTCGACTTCCGTGGTTTTACCTCCCGAAGAAAGTACTGCATTTGAGGTTTTTGTGGTGACTTGGCCACCGGGCTTTTGTTCTATGCACAGGGTAACCTGCACAAGAGATTCAATTAATGATAAATGGGTTGCACACGGTATATGGGGCGTGAGGGCGGATGGAACTGTTAAGAAACATTGCCCTATACCGGCTATGTCAACCTACGCCACTGATGTAAGTTGCCTTGAGTTGGCTGCTGCAGTAATTGCGTACTTGTTATACCATACGTCCGATTTGTTGTAACTGTCATGATTCTGATATTTTCTAACTGCCATGATGCTAATTAGTACTGACTGCATGTTGTCATGGTTCTGATTTGTGTCAACAGCTCAAGAACGTACCCAGCATGCTTGGAGAGCTCATGCCACCAAAACCCGCTCTGGGAATAAAGGTCACATCGGCTTCTTACAATCTGATACGTTCTTGAGCTGTTGATACAAATCAGAACCATAGCAGCATTCAGTTAGAACTAATTAGCACCATGGCAATTAGAAAATATCATAATCGTGGCAGTTACAACAAATCAGACGCATGGTATAACAAGTACGCAATTACTGCAGCAGCCAACTCAAGACAACTTACATCAATGGCGTAAGTTGACATAGCCGGTATAAGGCAATGCTTAACAATTCCATCCGCCCTCACGCCCCATGTACCGTGTGCAACCCATTTATCATTAATTGAATCTCCTGTGCAGGTTACCCCGTGCATAGAACAAAAGCCCGGTGGCCAAGTCACCACAAAAACCTCAAATGCAGTAGTACTTTCTTCAGGAGGCAGAGCCACGGAAGTCAAAGTCGAGGCGGACTATCTATTTTCAAGGCCTGCGGCGATTACCATAAGACCGAGGATAACTACAAACACATAGAATGTAAATGATGAACGGTCTCCTCCTCCAGCCACATTGGGACGCCGCCCACCTTCCAGATTTCTAGCCATGACCTAAGGAGTAAACAATACTCCAGTCAATCTCATGGCCCTCGCAACAGTTTCAGCAAATGTTGGCCGATTGAGCACAATACGAGGAGCAGGTGGTGGAATTTGGTTCGGCAGAGCGGCCCTATCAGCTGTGGCCTCTCTGTCCCTGACCCATCCAAGCCAATCGAAAGATGGCAGATCAAACTTCATCTTTTCTCCTGCAAAAACAGAAGACTAATAGTTGTTCTAGGTGAAACACACAGCCACAATGAACACAAGTGGACAAATCGTATAATAAACAACAAAAACGATTCAGAAACCCTAGGTAAACCTATAATTCCACGAAGCTAGGCCTAAAATTATATCTAATTTGAATCAATCGATGGGAAAATTTATACGATCAGCGAAAGTTCGACCAGATCAGAAAAACAGAAATACATAAACGAGGCAAGAAGGAAACGAATCAAGGTTGATTCACACTTCTTGAAAACTCGATGTGAAGGAAGAAAATCGACATCCAAAGACGAGGCAAGAAGGAAACAAATCAAAGTGATTCACACTTCTTGGAAACTCGATGGGATGGAAGAAAACCAACATCCAAAGAACGAGGGAAGAAGGAAACAAATCAAAATGATTCACACTTCTTGGAAACTCGATGGGATGGAAGAAAACCAACATTCAAAACGAGGCAAGAAGAAAACGAATCAAGGCGATTCACACTTCTTGGAAACTCAATAAAAAAAACGGATCCAAATCTTGATGGAGCAGCTAAAACGATTGATAAAGTAAACAAATGAACAAGGAAGTACAGTTTCGTCGACAACAGTGATCGAATTGCAGAAGGAAACACAGAAAATGGTGAATTCATAGAGATACTGATGAATCAAAAAAGAAAAATTAGGACTTAGATAACAGGAAAGTTTCTGAATTTTGAATCATAAATACCACAAGCCAAAGCATGCGGATTGCAACATTCATGATAACAACCCAGGTCATCGACACATCAAAGTAAATTCAAATTGCCTTGTTCTGGGATTCCAAGTAACACACAAGGCATAAGTAGAATGCAAGTTTGACAGCACAGAAGCTTAAACGAGAGAAGAATGTTCTATGCATTCATTATATTTCCTGGTACTCCATAACATATATAAATTCAACCCAAACTTTGACTAATAGAATATGCGTAAGGGGGAAGTCCACGAAGAGTGGAGAGTAGGGTGCAACCAAAAACTCATAAGTGGAAAAAAGAACTGAATCGCTCGTCCGGTGAAGACGTCGACGGGAATTGATGCAATAAAAAACGAATATCGAAACTTAGGGTTTCAATCGATTTTCGAAAATCGAAATCAAGTAATAATCGATCGCTTCATTCGACTGAAATTGACAAGAGCAAAGTAGGGTTTCGAATCTTCAAATTGGGAATTCAAAATCAAGAGTCTGGATCGTCGAGAAAGTCGAACGAAACACAGAACGAGAGACAACTAAAGGATTAACTGGATCGAAAGTCCGTCGAAAGAATCGAGCGGATCGACGAAGAGAAAATTTTGAGGCGAGGTAGGAAGGAAACGAACCAAGATGGTTCACACTTCCTGGAAACTCGAAGATGGGGGAATTCTGATCAAGCACAACAATATTTTGCTCTGATGTGACTGGCCGCTGGCGGAGATGCTGGCTGGTCGCGAACGAGAGGGAGATCCTGGCGAGTTGCGCGCGACCGAGAGGGAAGCAGAGGGGAGAGTCGGTCGGCGCCGTTGGGTGACGCCTAGGGTCTGTTATGCGCCGTAAGTTGGGACTTGAGAGGAAGAAAGCGCAGTTGGGCATAGTTGGGTGGGCCGAGTAAGGTGGGCCGAGTATAAGGGACAACCCATTTTATTTGTCACAGAAAATACCAACTCATGTTAAGCTCATGCTAAATTTGTCCCCATTGATAATTAGCGGAGTCCAACCAAGATTGGTGCACCACTTGAATATTGGAGAACGGTACTCCATTCCATCCAACTAGGGATGACAATTTCGATCTAATCCGATTTATCCGACCTGTTTGACCTGTTTTGGGGCGGGTCTGACCTGCCCCATAGGCGGGGCGGGGCAGGAATGGGTACCTCTCATCGACCCGACCTGCCCTGACCCGCCTTATTCTCGACCCGTTCTGGCCTAAGTTACATGTAATTTAGTCAAATTACTTAGAATTTTTCTCTTATTACATCATATTTTAGGTATTAAAAAGTTGTAAATAAGTGAAAACTCAATTTCTCCAATAATTTAACTACATCTTATCAAATTATGGTTTCTTTCTTGGTATTTTAATTAAAATAATGAATAATTCTAATGTTTTTTTGCATAAATTATATACCCAATGGGTCGACCTGCCCCGACTCGCACCCCATGATAAATTACCCGACCTGCCACCGGGCGGGTATGGGTATCGAGATACCCCCCCCCCCCCCCCCCCCCCGGACCTGCCCAATTGCCATTCCTACTTCCAACGGCCCATAAAAGTGTTCTTTTAAATTAAAGGCTCAGATCTATTAGAGCAATAGATAGTGGATTATGGGGCCCATGACCTAAAAAAGTAGTTGAAATGTGGGTCATTTATTTTTAACAAAATAAAACTTATACATACTATTTACAAGTGGTATATGTATATTCTTGTTGAACTAAAATCATATTTGTATCGAACAAAATACATATTTGCACTGAGCAAAAGTTATATTTGCATTGAACAAATATACAAATTAGAATATCATATTCGTAATAAACAAAATATGATATTTGCATTGAATAGAAAACATATTCCATATATGTGATTTCTATATTCGTAATTTTCACAACTCTTATTCAAAATAATATACCACGCATTAAAAACCATATCATTATTACTAAATATAAAACAAAGTGCTACTAATCACAAAACATATTTGTGCAAAACAGAAATCATATTCAGCATTTTCAAGAACTTGCATTCTCTACTCTTTCTCTTGTGTCGGCTCTTTTTCAGTCCGTGGGCCCAAAAAAAATATTTTTGTCAGCTCCTTTTCAGTTGCAGACCTCGCTACTACTTTTTACCAACAAATCTTGACCCTTAATTTAATGACCCATTTTTATGGACCATTGGATGTAAGCTGGAGAACCGTTCTCCAAAAGCCAAGTGGTGCACCATATCTAAATTCAGCGGAGTCTGGGCCCTCCTAAAATCGTCCCAAAAAATGCATTTGTCGGCCTGAAACAGGAGAGAATGTAAATACTAGGTTGAACGCTGAGAGCCAACCTCAATTAAAAATTCCGAAATTTTAGTCTTTATAAAAAAGAAATCCTCCTCGTATATGGACTTCATTTGATTTTTTTAGATTTCTTTTCCCAATTACAGGTTTCCCATAAAAAAATTCTTTTCCCAATCCTCTATTGCTTTTTTTTTTACAAAGTTGCATGTATGCTTATTATTTAGCTATGAGCAGAAGCATTACAGTCCAAAAAGAGCTGGGTTACAATAAAATAGGGAGGCTGGTCAAACTAGACTTCGATTTTTTCCCACCTGCATTGGACCCTAGCCACCAGGTGTGTTGCAGCATTGCCTTCTCTCCCCCAAAATCTCCACTCCACCTCCATTCCCTCTGCCAATTCTCCTATCTCTTCACAAATGGTTTCAATCTCCAAATTGGTCCTCTCCTTCCCCTGCAATTTAAAAACAAACCATACTTTGGCAATCTGTTTCTAGCATCACCGGTTGAAACTGGTGCTGCTTCATAAGCTTCATCCCCCATAGAAAAGTTGCTACTTCCGTCATTTCGGGTTGCCAGTTTACCCTCGTTCATCGGACTGCCGCCATCACAAATTTTCCCTCTCCGTCGTGGGCCACCATCCCGACACCCGTTCCCCATCCATCAAAACGCTTGCATCAACATTTGCCTTAAAACCCACCAGAGGTTTCTCCCACTTGTACCTTCGACCATTCGACTTCGATGGCGGAGCTGATTCCTAAGCGCTCCAATACTCATCCAGGTAACACTGAGCTCTTTCCACTACTTCCCATTTCTCCAACTTCTTATTATTAAATTTGTGGTTATTCCTCTCTTTCCATATAAACCAGATCGTTATGAAGAACTCGCATATTTCCTCATCTTTCGCCTTCTCTAACAGTTCACAAACCCATTCTACACACTTTAGATTTTCTCCCATCTCAAATAATTTACATAGGAAGCTAGGTCTCCAGATTAGTCGTGCCTAGTCGCAATCTCTTGTTATGTGTTCTTGCATTTCCACCAATCCACGGAATGGGCAACCCTCGTAGGCTTTTGGTATCCGCTTTGCTAGATTTCCACCAGTAGGTAGTAAATTTGTTCCCCATCTCCCCACAAAAATTCTCACTTTCGGTGGTAGCTGCAAATGCCACTGTCTGTGCCAGTCAATTGGCTCATAATGTTTTGGCACGCCATTCATTCGTTTCAGTTGCCAAGCTTGATATCACATCTTTACAGTGTAAAGCCCTGTTTTTCTTTGCCCCAACACCATCTGTCAGGTTTAGGTCTTACTAGTATCGGAATTGATTTGATCCTCTCTCTATTGATAGGTTGGAAGTGTTGTTGTAGTAGATTACTTCGCCAAGATCGATTAGAGTGATCAATAAAATCCGCCACCCTTGCATCCAGCCCTAACCTTGTAACTGTGGTCTGAATCTTGTAGTCCTCTACTTCTGGTATCCATTGATCCCACCAGATGCGTATGCTCTTTTCATCCCCCACTCTCCATCTCGTCCCTTCCTTTACCAAAATTTGGGCCGCATTATGCTTCTTTGTATATAACTCGGGTTGCTTCCCATTTCAGCTTCCCACACGTTAGTATAAGGGTAGTATTAACTTTTAGAACTCGAGCAATTAATGAGTTTGGATTCTATAAAAGATCCCACACCTACCTTCCCAGTAAGGCTATGTTGAAGTGACACGCTATGACCGAACACCAAACTGCGACCAAGTGTAATCGCAGAATGGAAATGCAGAATAGTGGTAAGTTTACTTTATCAACCCGGTTCTAGATCTATTGACTACTCCGTGACTATCTATTATCTAGCGGGACTAAGTTTAATGAGAGTGATTGTAAACAAAAGCAGTAAGAAAGCAGGAAAGTGTTCGATTTTCTAAAGCAAGGGAAGAGTCACTCGGGAATGAATCCCCTAGTTCCTTAGTTAGGTTCAAGTTGTAATTTCCTTTGCTTGATTTACTGTTGATTAAACTGCGGAAGATCCGACAGTAGTTTTGAATCTCTTAAGCTGCCCAAGCCCTCTCAGTCAGACTAACCGGCAGGCGACTAGCCTTCACCGGGATAGACTACTGAGGCAATTAACATAAAACTCCACTACTGGAATTGGATTCTAGTACAAAGCAGTGAATCGACTAGCTCTCGTATAATCAATTCACTACTACCGATTGAAGAAGCTCTAACAACCTAATCAGATTCTATCTATCTCAGGTTGCAACAGAAATCAAGAAAATTTGATCAGACTTCAATTGACTCAATAAACACACTTCAATCGATTATAATCAGGTAGTATATCAATCCAAACGTCATTACAATCAAGATCTCTAACACATGGAACTAGGGTTCTTCATACCCAAGTGAGAGAAAGTTCTACTCCATAGAGAGAGAGGAAAACAGAATCCAAAGCAACCATACTCATAATGATGGGAAGAATCTGCTATGGGATGATAATCTTCACTCCAAGGACGAAATCCAAGCTTGATTGATGAAAACCAGCTCCAAAATCACTCCTAGGGTTTGTTCTTCGCACTTTCTCTCTCCAAGACTGTTTTTGCTCTGAAAGTTCGTATCCCTCTTCAAAGACCCGAAATTGGGTTAAAACCCAAAATTCCACGACCACGCAGCCAGGTTACACGGCCGTGTGAAATCCCCAGCTTGCTCGTGTAACGTCCCAAAACGCAATGTTCGAAATAGTGACTCATGGTACGCTACACGGCCAGAACGACACGGCCGTGTTGAATTTCAGCCAGCCCGTGTGAAGTCACTGGAAATCCCACACGGCCAAAATTGGTCCTTACACGACCAGTGTGCCCTTTCCCGCGCAAAGGAGTGCCACACGGCCATGTCACACGGCCGTGTGTTTTCCTCAGCTTTTCGCCAAACGTCCAACTTAGTCCAATCGACCCGAAATCGTGCTCAAACCTTCATTCACGTACTAGGATATAAAATATCACAAACAAGAACAACCTAGTGTGAAATCGGTTTAAAACACCAGAAATGAGACTGAAACAGTATAAGAATGGTGGACAAAAACATGTGTATATATCGAGTCATCAAATTCCCCCACTCTTAACTGTTTGCTTGTCCCAAGCAAACCTGACTCAAACCAATGTAGCTCTCAAGACCTCTATAGCAACATGCACCCCGATCGGCGGTAGAGGATTACCTAGATCATTTAGCAGCTTACGAGGTCAACCGACGTACAAGACACCTCCTAGCTTCTTTGGCGAGAACTCTAGTCTCGAGTCGACATCATGGCAAATAGTGATCAGAGCACAAATGAATATTGGACAAAGGGACTCTCAAAAACAGAAAGATCATGGACTCACTTTTTTAAGGTGCTCTATTTTCTTCTTGAAGATGGTTGGAACCCTTTTTTCCTTCAAGGGTCCCAACCTGTTATTTTCAGAAAATGAGGCTCCCACCTATTAAAGGCTCTTACTGGCCATGCGAGGAGCAGCTCTTACCGGCCATGCCGGGAGCAGATTTCTCGAGGCTCGTGCACGGGAGGGGGGGGGTGGGAAGAAATGTTAGGGGGCTAGATGTAGTAGGTGGAAGTTGGGAACGGATTCCCGTCTCCCCTTACACACTTTCACAGCTTTTCGCATGGGAGACGTTATTTTAAAAGCACATTTTAGAGCACCTTTTTTTTCAAAACATGATACAGCAGTCCATGAAAGGGTAGAGAGTCCACAATACCACACAATTCAAGGGTCCTAAGATCACTAATTCACACAATCAACCAACACAATATGAAGAAGAAAGGAGACTTCTTAAATGCATCAACATCCTCCATAGCGCTACACTACCTCTCTAGGTTGGATATTACTATAAAGACTGTTAATTCAAAGCATAATGAGAAGGCAGTTGCAAGGAACACGTGCTTGGAGCCCTCAAATCAAAATTTGGACAGTGTACTAGGCTCCAAGCACAGTAACACATCTACGCAGTCAAATAGAAACACCCCCTTAGGGATGGCAAATTACCCGCCCATGGGTAATTATACCCAAACCCAAGTAGACCCATTGATAATGGGTTGGCATGGGTGAAGTGCATATGGATTTGGGGG